CTATGGAAAACAGTGTGGAGATTTCTTAAAAAGCTGGAAATAGAACTGCCATATGACCCAGCAATCCCACTTCTGGGCATACACACCGAGGAAACCAGATCTGAAAGAGACACGTGTACCCCAATGTTCATCGCAGCACTGTTTATAATAGCCAGGACATGGAAGCAACCTAGATGCCCATTAGCAGATGAATGGATAAGGAAGCTGCGGTACATATACACAATGGAATATTACTCAGCCATTAAAAAGAATTCATATGATCATCCACTTTAAATGAAGGAGAGGGGAAATGTGTACTATTGCTGCCACTGTTTGCATGACATTGTTTTAAAAATTGATAAACCCATTTAATTCATGAGAGGGAAGCACAATTCAATGTGGAAATCACCCTTTGCCCTTTATATGATCTTTGTTTAAACCGTATTGGAAATAGACAAGAGAGATCTGAAATGTTTACAGGATATCATGTAGTGATATGGAGATGGAAGTGGCAACCCACTCCAGTATTCTTGCCTGGAGTATCCCTTGGACAGAGGAGCCTGGTGTGCTACAGTCCTTGGGGTCGCAGAGTCGGACACGACTGAGTGTGCACACATGCACAGATATCCTGGGAATCATGGAGATGAGCAGGAGGCTCTTCAGTTTGATAAGGGTTTGAATTCTATATTCTGACTGTGTGGCCCCAGGCAAGTATTTCACCCCTCTAAACATACTAATGATGGCTTTCCAGGCTTCTCTGGTGATGAGATTAATGCAATGCCAGTCCTAGAAAGCCTAGTACACTTCCATAGCTACTTAATATTGGTCAGTTAGGAACTGAGTGGGTAGCATTTCAATACACTCTGAGTAATATGACGAGCTATCCACTTGTCCCAGGGAGTAAAACATTTTAAGAAGAAACAGGGAGGCACATTATTAAACCTTGTTTTTTTTTTTTTAATTAGAAATTCCTCGGACTCACCAGGAGTATGAGAGCAGTCTTACCTTGAAAATGTTCCTGTTTCAGTTTGTAAATTATTATTCATCCTGCTTCTACGTAGCGTTCTTTAAAGGGAAGTTTGTGGGATATCCCGGAAAATACACATATTTGTTTGGTGTGTGGAGAAGTGAAGAGGTAAGAATTCTCTAGAGAGGTGATATTTATGGCTTCAGTAACTCACTGTTAGTTGAGTACCTTTAGGTGTGCCCCACACTTACTCAAATTTTATCAAGTTTCAAGAAAAGTCTAAGATACTGACTCTGTCCATGGAGCATATTGGTCTTAGAATCCTGCTGATAGACTCTCCAGTTTGTTTGGGGAAAGAAAGTTATGTTGTACCTATTGTTTGATATAAAACATGAGCTATGAACTGGAATAAGTAAGTTCTATATTCTGAAGGCTTCCAGCAAAGAACGAATGATAACTTCCTAGAGGTACAGCAGAAAGTGCTCCCCATATGGGTATAGAATTAGACCAGCTCAGTGATTTCCAAATCTGGCTTGCTACCAGATCACATGAAGAAAATAACAACTTTCAGCCCTAACACAGATAGAAAGATTCGGAATTTTCTAAGAATAAGGCCCAGAAACTTGTCTTTTTTCTTTTCTTTTTTTTTTTTTAACATATTCCACAGCTAAATCTAATGCAACTAGATGACTTCCCTTTGTAGCTCTGTTGGTAAAGAATCTGCCTGCAATGCAGGAAACCCGGGTTTGATTCCTGGGTGGGGAAGATCTCCTGGAGAAGGAAATGGCAACCCACTTCAGTATTCTTAAGAGCCTGGAGAATCCCCATGGGCAGAGGAGCCTGACAGGCACAATCCATGGGGTCTCAAGAGTCGGACATGACTTAGTGACTAAATCACCACCACCACACCACTGTGATCATGCTTGAAACTTGGGACTAAATATCCCTTTGTATCATTTAATATCTGTTCCGATGCGAATCTTCAGATTCTCACCTTCTGGTTTGAGTTTTCTTTTGTCACAAAAGTCCATCTTTTCATCATTCACTTAATTTTTCTCCTTTTTCTTCCTGCTAGTGTGATCCTGCAGGCTGTCTAGTAGAACTGACAACCCAGTTGACCATCATAATGACTGGGAAACAGATCTTCGGAAACGTTAAGGAGGCCATTTATCCGTATGTATGACTTACAAGTTTTTGCTTTATTTAAGTAACCATGAGAGATTTCCTCTGAAAGAAGGTGGAATTCTTTGATTATCATGGTGCTTTTGTTAGCTAACGTCTAAGTCAACAGCAATAACAACAGAAAATTCACTTTAAAAAAATATTTATTTATTTTAATTGGAGGATAATTATAATACTGTGGTGGTTTTTGCCATACATTGACGTTAATCAGCCAAGGGTGCACGTGTTTCCCCCCATCCTGAAATCCCCTCCCACCTCCCTTCCCACCCCATCCCTCTGGATTGTCCCAGAGCATTGGCTTTGAGTGCCCTGCTCCATGCATTGAATTTGCACTGGTCATCTATTTTACATGGGGTAATACACATGTTCAATGCTATTCCACTTTTAATCAACAGTCAAATGTATATAAAGGTAATACAGATTTTTAAATGTGCATCTCTGTTTGCTTGAGTGAAGTTTATTTCACTCAATATATGAATATTTCACTGGGAAATCTAAATGTTATATGCTCTGTAAATTATTCTACAGTTACATTTTATTTCTCAAAATTACTGGAAGTCAAACTCTTTGAAAATGTCTGTGTTCAATAACATGGACACATGTTATTGAACCAAAGTCGGGTCCACTTGCCTGCCCACAATAAAGTCAATCTACCCACACCAGATTGTGGTAAAGGAAAGTGCAGTGTTNGATGCCATGATCTTAGTTTTCTGAATGTTGAGCTTTAAGCCAACTTTTTCACTCTCCTCTTTCACTTTCATCAAGAGGCTCTTTAGTTCTTCTTCACTATCTGCCATAAGGGTTGTGTCATCTGCATATCTGAGGTTTATTGTAATGTGCCATAAAATATTCTGGGACAGCTAGTGCTGAAAAAGCTTGGACTCCCCGATGGGTTTCAGGAAGGCATTTTCAAAGTCCAGGTGACCTCGGAGGTGGTCATAGGATATGTGATCAGCTCGTGCACAGTTCTCTGATTGGTTGATGCTGATGTAACATGGTGATGTCACAGAGGTAAACATTATAAATCCTAAGGAATCTTGGGGGTATATGCTTATGGTCATTAAGTAGTTAACATCTTCCATTTGGTGGAGGTTTTCATATCTGTGAAACAACTCAGGAAATGTCTCTCAGATAATATTATCTAATTCCTTCAAAGAGGAGCTAAAGCAGATGATTGGGGAGGAGTCTGTCCCAGGAAGGCCCTACAGGGTCCTGCTCAACTATACATCTAGGCACGAAAATCTGTTATGAATTAAATGCTGGCACATGAAGGGATCACTCTCTGTCCCCAAAGCATAGCAATAATGAATGCATTGTTTAAAAAAAGAAGAAGAAGAAAGAAAGCAAACCAAAATGACAGTTGTAAGATGAAAATTCCCATGAATAGAAAGAGATAGAATTATAAGCCTGTAATATTGCAGGACTCCGAGTTAGGAAATGACACTGTTGGGGTATTAACATCTATAGGATGAACTAGACTGGAAGTGGAGCATTTGAGACAAGGAACTAGTCAGTCTAACAGTACTTAAATCCAGGGGCTGGGTTTATTCTTGCTCATGAAAGGTGAGTGAGAGCACCCTCGCCCCCTGCTCTCACCCACCCCAACAGTTTCCACCCCAGCACTCCTGGGGTGCTATTTCATGTGCCAGCAAAGGAAGAACACAGATATTATCCTCTCAAACAGTATTTGTTACACCACATCCCTAATATTGCCACAGAGAAATAATGCCAAACTAATGCCAAGTTGTTATTTTAAATCCTAGCTCTAGATTGAGAACCTGGAGGGAAGAATGGAGTTAAACGCCTAAACCAAACAGAAGAGGAAAATTAATATTTGCAGAGAGGAAAGGAGACAGACAGGGCAGTAGAAGAAAAGAGAGACAAGTAAATTTAAGCCTGCAAACCAAAATTTGAAAACTTAAATGAGATGTAATGCTATAAAGGTCGCTAACAAAATCAGTTCTTAGAAAGTGAACTTACTCCAGGTGGAAGATTCTGCCAAAGTCTAAAAGTATAGAAGGAGATGATATTGTCAATAAAAGGGTCAGGAAATACTTTAAATAAACATAGATATAAATGAAATAAAACAAATGAATATCAAAAAGAATCAATTATTAATATATAAAAGTGAAAAATCACACTTTAAATAAAGAGTACAATACATGGGATCCATTACAGGCTGGACACAATTGAAGAGTGAAGTAGTGAATTGGAAAACAGTACTGAGAAGTTCCCACACTGTGCAGTGGAACAGAGAGACAACGAGGTTAAAAAAATTAAAGTGGCAGGGGAGCTATATAAAGTGGCTTCCACCTTAATATCCTAGTAGTTTCAGGGGAAAAAATGAATGAATAGTGGAGGAAAAAATTCTTTGAGTAGGTAATTGCTGAAAATTTTCTGAAATTAATAAAAGCATGAATTCCAGAAATGAAAATGAATCCAGAGTATGAAGCAAGAGAAATTAAATTCATAATTGGATATGTTATGGTCAATCTATAGAACATCGGGGATAAAAGCATCTTAAAATCTTTCAGAAGAAAAAGGAATGCCACCTATATTCAACAGATTTCTTACCAATAACATTACATGCAAAAGTATTCTCAAGATTCTTAGTGAAAAAAAAAGTTCACCTTAGATTTCTAGAAGCATTTTAATTATTACATAAAGTACAGGTGAAATAAAGGCATTTTTAGACATGAAAGAAAAATAAGAGTTTACATTCATAGACCCTCATTGGAAGAACTGAAAGAAGAAATGGAAGTATGGAATGGAAGAAACATTGTCAGTACAGCAATTGATAGTTCAGAGAAATGCACTTTGATACAAATCTTCAAACTGTGGAAAATTTGTATGCTGAAAACCACAAATCCTGTTGAAAAAAATTACATCTATGTGAATGGAGAGGAATATTGTGTTGATGGATTGGAAGATTCAGCTTAGTAAAGATGCCAATTATCCCCCAAATTAATAAATAGATCTGTTGCTCCAATCAAAATATCTGCAGGATTTTAGTAGATATAGTGAAGCATATGCTCAAATTTATATTGAAGACAAATGAACTAGAAAGGTCAAAGCAAATTTGATAAAGAAGAATAAAGTTGGGGAAATTAACACTATTCAATATCTCTCAGTCATGTACAACTCTTTGCGACCCCATGGACTGTATCACTTCAGGCTTCACTGTCCATGGTTTTAAGACTTAACTATAAAACCATATTAATCAACTCAGGACTGGTGAAAGGATAGACATATAAACCAAATGAAACAGAGACTGAAGAAATAAGTCCACACAAATAAAGCTATTTTACTTTTTTTTTCATTTATTTTTAGCTATTTTACTTTTGACAAAGGTGCAGAAACAATTCATTAAAGAAAACTCATTTTTTTCAATAGCTAGTGCTAGAACAACTGGGCATCCATATACAAAATAACAAAACTCCATGTACTCTGACTCTTCACTCAAAAATTAACTCAAAAGTATCATAGATGATATAGCCATTTTTCTTTTTTGGAAAAAGCAGGGAAGTTATTACAGAATTCAAGATAGTGATTACTAAATAGGAAATTAAGAGGTTTGTAATTAGAATGGAGCACATAGATGTGCTTCTGTGATTCCTGAAAAAATTCTTTCTTGAATTGGATGGTCTCCTTTCCTTTTTGACTCCAGTTACATGCATACCCATCTTGTTGGTATTGTCTCAAAAGTCTCAGGGGTTCTCTTCCCTTTTTATCATTCCTTTTTTTCTTTGTATTTCAGTTTTGATATAAGCAGCATATGTGTTCCTTTTAATTAACACATTTGACACGATGCTTTTATATTGCTTATTTGTTAATTTTTTCCAGTTTGGAGTGTATAAATAATATCTCATTTTGCTCTTATTTTGCATTTCCTCGATTAATAACATGAATACGTCTTTTGACCATACAGATGAGATGCTGTTCATGTTCTTTAATCATTTTTCTCCTTGTCTGTTTATATTTTTTCTAATTGATTTGTAGGAATACTCTATAACTTTGGTTACTGTGTTTTTGTTTGCTTGCTTTTTGGTTATATGTGCTGCAAGTACCTTATCCCAGCACAAGTTTTTCTAATAGTATCTTTAATCAGTTTCTCATGTTCAGTACTACAGACATTTTGGACCAGATAATTGTTTGGTATTGGAAGCTCCCTTTGCATTGTAAGATGTTTAGCAGCATCCTTGAACTCTACCTACTATATTCCAGTAGCCCACCTTCTCCCCAGTTGTGACAACCAGATACTTCAGATAATGTCCCATGTGGGCTAAATCACTTCCAGTCTGGAACCACTTCTGTAGATGGACAAAAGTCTATATTTTTAATATAGTAGAATTTTTGTCAACTCTTTCTTTAATGGTTTAGCATTTTTAGTCTTGTTCAATACATCCTTTCATACCTCAAGATCAAAAACCAATTCTCATGTACTTATATTTAAATATTTTTAATATTGTAGCATTACTATTGCCTTTCTCTTTTAAATTCTTAATATACTATGGAAGGGGTTTTCGTGTTTGCTATAAAAGGTCCAATTTCATTTCTTACACACATAATTTCATGTTGCCATTTATTGAAAGTCCCTTTTCCCCACTCTCTATGATCTGCGACAATGTTTATGCCAAACAGCAAAGGCAGGGTTATAATCGGCCTCCATTCTGCTCCAGAATTCGTCTATCCCCACACCAGTGCCACAGGGCTCCCCTCGGGGCTCAGCGGTAACGAACCCACCTGCGGCGCAGGGGCCGCAGGAGACTCAGGGTCAATCCCTCGGCTGGGAAAATCCACCGGAGGAGGCCGTGGCACCCACTCCAGTATTCCTGCCTGGAGAAGCCTATGGACAGAGGAGCCTGGCAGGCCATAGTCCGTGGGGTCACAGAGAGTCAGACACCACTGAGTGACTTAGCACGGCTGGGAAAATCCACCGGAGGAGGCCGTGGCACCCACTCCACTATTCCTGCCTGGAGAAGCCCATGGACAGAGGAGCCTGGCAGGCCATAGTCCGTGGGGTCACAGAGTCAGACACCACTGAGTGACTTAGCACAAGGCACACCAGTACTATTCTCCCTTAGTTAAGACAACTTTATCACTAACTCTTCATATATGGTGGGGTCAGTTACTTGTTTTTTATCTGTGGAAGCATCTTCACTGTCCTTTGTCTTTCATCTTTCTGCGTAAATTTTAGAAACGTCTTGGCAGAATTCACATGGAAAAGTATTTTGGTTTTTTGATTGGAATTATGTTTCAATTGTTTCAGTAAAAACACCTAACATTATATTATGCCAGGTCTTTTTATTCACAAATGTATATTTTGGACATTAATGACTTTAAATATTTAAAGTTCAGCATACAGGTCTTCTAAATCTCTGATCAAATCCATTTCTAGATACTTTTAATTGCTATTGTAAATGGTACCTTTTAAAAATTATATTTTCTACTATGTTTTGTGAATGTATAGGAATGCAATATATTGATAAACTCTTATTATTTGTAATAATTTTTGTCTATATTCATTTGAGTTTTCTAGGCAAGCAGTCCATTCACATTACTGTTTGTAATCATAGATTTCTCTTTCATTTCCAGTTTTTTTTACTTTTTCTTTTTCATTTTATTGTTTGGCTAAGATCTTCATTAAAGTCTTGAAATGTGATCATATACACTCTTATTTTTACCTTAATTCTAAAGGGAATTCTGCTAATTTTTCCCTATTAAGAATTATGTTTAGCCCAGGATTTTGGTAGATGCTTTTGGTCAAACTGAGGTAATTTTCTTCTTTTCCTTCTTTTCTATCATAAATAGGTTTTAATAGGTTGTTGAAATACATCAAATGCATTTTTCTGCATTAGTCACCATGATTTTATAATTTTTTCCTTAAATGTGTTAATATGATCTCTTACATGGATTGAGTTTTTAATTTTGAAAAAGTCTTTTCTTAAGTAATCCAATATATCATGATATATTAAATTATATATATATATTATGTATATATTATGTATATATTTATATATAGAATTGAATTAGGTAATATCTTGTGTAGGATTATTATATTTATTGTCATGTGTTAGATAAACATCTGTATTCCCTTGTCATACATTTTCTGTTGTAACCCATTTCTCATTCCCCCAAGTGCCTTAGTATCACAGCATCGTTGAGATTAGTGAACTAGATATGTAAAAACAGTCCTGTGGTGACCTCTCCTCCATGTACTCTTTAAAGAACTGTCTCTGAGTAAATACATTACCCTGCAGAGGCAGGGTTGTCTTCCTTTCTTAATCATCCAAATAAAGATCTTCTGTCCTTAGCAAATAGATGTGAACAGAACACTAGATTTTTTTTTTTTTTTTTTTTTTTTTTTTTTTTTTTTTTTTTTTTTTTTTTTATTTTTTTATTTTTTTAATTTTTATTAGTTGGAGGCTAATTACTTTACATCATTACAGTAGTTTTTGTTATACATTGATATGAATTAGCCATGGATTTACATGTACTCCCCATCCCAGTCCCCCCTCCCACCTCCCTCTCCACCCGATCCCTCTGGGTCTTCCCAGTGCACCAGGCCCGAGCACTTGTCTCATGCACCCAACCTGGGCTGGTGATCTGTTTCACCCTAGATAATATACATGTTTCAATGCTGTTCTCCTGAAACATCCCACCCTTGCCTTCTCCCAGAGTCCACAAGTCTGTTCCATACATCTGAGTCTCTTTTTCTGTTTTGCATATAGGGTTATCGTTACCATCTTTCTAAAGTCCATATATATGTGTTAGTATACTGTAATGGTCTTTATCTTTCTGGCTTACTTCGCTCTGTATAATGGGCTCCAGTTTCATCCATCTCATTAGAACTGATTCAAATGAATCCAAATAAAGATCTTCTGTCCTTAGCAAATAGATGTGAACAGAACACTAGATTTTGACTTGGACTTTAGTTGCAGTCATGTCTCTCTGTACTTGTTCTGTGATCTAAACTTACTTGCCCTTCCTCACCTCCATTTTTTAGATCTAATACTCTGATTCTCTGACCCCTTTCTCTTAAATCCTATTTCATGTTTACTTTTATCACTTCCAACAGCTTGGTTCTGAATTGGTGGAGACGCCGAAAAGCCCGAACCAACTCTGAAAAGCTATACAGTCGATGGGAGCAGGATCATGACCTTGAAACTTTTGGTTCTCTTGGGTTATTCTATGAGTATTTGGAAACAGGTAATTTTCAACCTCTGCCTTGAAACATGAAAGAAACTGAGTAAAATAAGTGTTTTTCACCTCTTAATATTTTTCCTACCTTGCACATAGTAGGTGTTCAATAAATCATTGGATAGTGGATGAAAAGATTAGTGGCTAAATATGGAAAAAAATTGGCTTAGTATTTCTATTTTCCCCAAATATAATGCAGGATGAAATTTAGTTTCAAAACAGCAATCTCAGATATTTTCCTATCAATTTAATGTTAATATGATATATTCTGCTTTTTTTTGTATGCTTTGGTGATTGCTCAGAGAGGGAATACAATGAAAAACATTACTAGAGTCTGACATACATTTAGTGTATATCCTTTTTTCAGGCTGAAAAGAATGAAGCTAAAAGTAGATATGCAAGGGAAAACCAAACTGGACGTAAGAAATGCATAAAGTATTCTAAGGATTGAAGAGAGGTTGGGATGAAATTTTAAGAGAGAGAACCCCAGAACTGACTGTGGAATCTACTTAGAGTGTTTCCTCTCAAATGACCTTCTCTGCTGTTTTGGTGAAATTAAAGAGGACAGTTTTCCCAGCTTATTTTCGTGGCCCATAAAAGTCATGGTAGAATAAATGAGATGACCTGAATTTGTTACTGTTTCTCCACTGAAATACGTACATATGATACCTGAATTAAAATAGGTATATTTGGGCAAATAGGAAGATGTCTACAGTTATAAAACTAGGTAGTCCTTGATTTGTGGACTCATAAGGCTGTAATTTTTAAATAATTGTGTATGTTTCAAGTGAATTTTTACATAAATGTGTCAGAGGTTATAACTGAAAGTAGAAGATGAAATCAGTGTTTCATAACAAGATTAATTATTGAGACCCAACTAAGAGTTAATTTATTCTTATTGTTTTACATACTGTATCTCTAATCTTAAAACATTCTACAGAACAGTCATTATTCACTGCATTTTATTTGAAAGAATACTGAAGCTTGGAAAAGTTATTTGCCATGGGCCACAGAGGTTATAGGTAAAGATCTGAGATTTGAACCTAGAAATTCAAGCTGTTTCTGCATAACACTTCACCTTAATTTTCTGTTTCTTGGTTCAGTAGAGAAGTTAGGAAGGAGGCTGTTTGTTCTCTTGGATTAGTAGATGAAAAGACTGGTGCTAATGAGAAAGTATTATGAGAAATCTTGAAATCCAGAAACACTCAAGAAATATCTAAAAATAGAGGACTAGTGGAAGATTCCTTTTTCTTTTTTCCTATGGTGGAAAGTCATCTTTGTATTATTGTTTTTTGGTTCTCTCCTGTGGGAAGTACAGTCTTCCAGCTACGTGGATTCTTTTACCCCAAGTGCTGATGGAAAGAAAAGAAGAAACATGGAGAAATAAGCCAACACTTATATCGGTGTTAAGCCTTAGTGAGGAAAGACAGTAAAACATACTCAGAAAGATGTCAAGTTAGTACAGAGGACGGTACCTTAAAAAATACCTCATTCTGGGGTATCTGTATTTCCTTTGCTCACATGCAACTTATATATATTTCTGATGTTTATATGGTTCATTTTCTGATTTATTCTCAAATATCTTGTTTATACTACCTTCTCCTCTGTTAGCATCTTCAAATCTTAAATAATGCATTCATTCATAAGGCTTATAGTTGAGTACTTTTATATACTCAGAACATACAAATGAGTCAGTAATTATTTCTGATCTTAAAAAGTACATAGGTTAGCAAAATAAAGCTTGATTACCCCACAGATGTGCCAATACCAATATAAATACTAGACTAGCAGACCTAAACATAGGCCATAATAATAAAAGACTGTGTTTTATGAATAAGAAGACTATCTTATCTAATAAGAATAGATGCTTTTTTCAGACAAGCAGATCTTAAAAGAAACAGCAGGGATAGAACTGAGCTGTGCATGACTAATTTCTCCTTCCTGTTCTAGTAAGCAATAAGTCACTGTGCTTCCTCTAGGAAAGGGGAAGAAGGCAGCTGGAAGGAGGCCTGGAGGGTTTTGCTTTTGTAGATCCCTTCAAAATGAAGGAAGTGGCAGGAGTTAGGGCGACTGTTCCCTTTTCCCCTCCACAATGATGAGTTTGTGAATTTGTCTTTTGTCCCCGCAGTTATCCAGTTTGGATTTGTTACATTATTTGTGGCCTCTTTTCCTTTGGCCCCTCTTCTCGCGCTCCTGAATAACATAATAGAGATTCGAGTGGATGCCTGGAAGCTTACGACTCAGTACAGGAGACCTGTAGCTGCGAAGGCTCATAGCATAGGTGTTTGGCAAGACATTCTTTACGGAATGGCTGTCCTTTCTGTTGCAACTAATGTAAGTAGACCTATTTCAGTGGAAACTGTACTTGATGATTTTTTTCTTGGGGGTAGGGAGATTGTGAATAATGTTTAACTCAATATTTACATTGATTTCATCATCGTGACCTTCATAAAGACAAAACATCCCTAAACTTTTATGTGCTAAACAACACAGACAAATCTGTGACATGCAAACTCTTAGCAATACAAGGAAAATTGTAAAACATGCTTATTAAAATACCATGATACCCATACCACCTGAGAAAGTAGAAAATAAGTAACAGTATAAAGAATATAAGTAATATAATTAAAGCTTGATTATACATAAAGTTATGTAGTACAAATAGAATATACAACATTTACCTGTTATTTTTATGGAGTACTTATTAAAAATGGTCATAAAACTGAATTCCCAAAAGCTGAAATTTTACAATGCATATTCACATGCAATAATGGTATAAAAAATGAATTTGATAATAAGATAGCCAAAAAAAAGAAAATTTAGCCACTTAATATTCATGCTTCCAAGAAAACTTATTGCACAAAGAAGAAATAAAATTGAAATTACAAGGAGAACTTAATTAAAATGAAAACTCATACGAATCTGCTAAAATCATATTTATAAAAAGTGTATACCAATAAATGCTTTTATTATTGAAAAGAAGGAAAATATGAACTGAGCCTATTATATGAAACTAAGAAAAAATGTAAAACTAATCAATAGAAAGTGGTAAGAAAGAAAGAATAAAGGTATATGCAGAAATAATCACATTAGAAAACAAATAAAAGGTAATATAATTGCTAAATAAATCAAGAGTTGGTTCATTGAAAAGATAAACAAAATTCTGACAATCTCAAAAAAAAATTACAATGTACAGTGAGAAAATTATAAAAATGCTATATATATATTTATTCTAATACATTTTAAAATCTGTTTCAAATTGTCACTTTTTTAGAAAATAAAACTGCCAAAATGTGCTCAGTAAGTGATATAAAACATGAAATGTACCAGTAGCTATAGAAGCAATATTAAAATATTAATAAAATATTAAATATTAATAAAATTTAAAATCAATAGAACATTTAAAATTAATAAAAGATTAAAGTATTAAAAATCTGTCACTAAAAATGTAGATGGCAGAGCAAAATGATTTTAAATTGACTCATCTTACCTAAAGGGAACATGACATTTACACTATTCCAGAGCTTAGGAAATGATGGGAAAAATACCATTCCTACGGAATCAAATACTGAAATTAATTGCACTGAACAATGGGAAATTTACCAATACATGGTCTTCTGTTTCTCCATTCCTCATTCCCTATACACCCCCTGCCACACATACACAGAGTCTGCCCTATCTTATGAAATTGATCCAGGCAAGTAAAATTTGGTTAAAGAGAGTAGAACTGTATTATGAAACAGTAAGAAATGTGAGAAATAGCGAGGCAAGATGGAAAGAGACAGATACAGGTATGGTGTTTTTGGAAACAAATAGTGAGGTGAAAATTTCAATGTAACTCTTTCTAGCTATGAAATCTTGTAATACTGATCATACACCATAAGTGAACTATTTCATGTTTTAGGTCAAAGACTCATATGTTAACATGATTAGTAATAGCATACTAGTAATTTTGCATCCTTAAGGCACAACGATCTGAACAATATGCAAGTCAGACTTTGATAAAACTGCATTATTAGCTCATGATTTTCCTCTTGCTTTGTCCTTTAGGCTATTATTGTTGCATTTACATCGGACATGATTCCCCGTTTAGTTTACTATTATGCCTACTCAGTAAACGAAACTTGGCCTATGAGAGGTTATGTCAATAACAGCCTGTCAGTATTCCTCATAGCCGATTTTCCAAACAACACTGTACCTTCGGAAAAACGAGACTACAACACTTGCAGGTTTTCTCTTGTTTTCATTTTGCTTTTTAAATGTATTTGTTAAGTTCTCTGTTTTCTTCATGTCTTAACAAAAATTTACTTGGGGCCATAAAATTCTTGGATAAAGTACATCAGTTCTAAAATCCACACATTGTATGGTTCTGATTTGAAAAAAGTAGAATACTCAAAAGTAAGAGAATACTATTGGTAAAGATAATGTCAATTTTGAATTGTTTCTTATTTTCTAAATTTATTGGAAAAATTTTATCCAGCAAATGTCCCCTTGATTCAAGCTTTAATGTCTATAGATCACACAGCATGGTCATAGTATATGTGCATTCAATCTACTTGAATTTAACTATGTGTCCTCAAACAGAGAGAGAGGAAAAGAAAGAACAATATAGTTGGTCCATTAGCCATCCCATCTGAAAGGTTTCTTCAATGTAGGGAGTGTGAAATTAGATTTGTAAACCTGTTGTTTTCACACTCTGTGTCTCATGAACTGTGAGGATCTTTTTACTTTAGGATTTAAAGATCATTTATACATATACACACACATATATGTGTGTGTGTGTGTATATATATGTGTGTGTGTGTGTTTATATGTGTATATATATGTGTGTATATATGTGTGTATATATATGTATACACACACACACATATGTGGTACATCAAAGCTTTTAAACTTAAACCTTAAACCAACTGCTTCATCTGGGATTCCAATAAAAACAGCAATATCTGTTTTTGTCTACCTGCAACACAGGTAGACAAAAACGTTTTAATATTCCATATTTTTTATTTGTTTTTGGCTGCCCGCGGGCTTTCTCCAATTGCAAGGGGGACTTAGTCTGTAGCTGTGGTGGGCTTCTCATTGCAGTGGCTTCTCTTGTTGCAGAGCATGGGCTCTAGGCACGCTAGCTCTGTAGTTTTGGCACACAGGCTTAGCCTCCATGGGGCACGTGGTATCCTCCCACACCAGGGATAGAATCTGTGTCCCCATTGATGAGGCAGACTCCCAACCACTGGACCACCAGGGAAGTCCTATTCCATATTTGTATAGAGAAGAATCATAACAAGTGTCAGATTTCTTGATGCTATCACTTCCTAGCTGGACAGAATCTTTGAAGAACATCGATATCTAGACACATTATAGAAAAGAAATGAACTCACAAATTGAATACCAGGGAAACCCCCGAAGGATAATAAGTAACACAAAAACAATGCCGCGTTATGTAAACCAAAAGAAAACAGAGTTTCAAGCAAATGAGAATGGCCGACAGTGTCAAGTTCTATTCGTCACATAAAATAAGATGTGAATTAAAATGTTCCTTCAATTTAATGACCAGAGACGGTTGGTGTCAGTAGAGTGATGGTAGAATTAAGTTGTTAAGGAATAAGAAGAAAGGGAATGAAATGAAAAGAGCATATTTAGCTAACTCCTGAGAAACTTGTGTTCATGGCAAGAGAGAAGTTTCACTTGTGTCTCCTGCTACATCTATACTATACATTAGTAACATATGGCTTTGATTGTTATCTGTATAGGAAAGATAAATGTTTGGTAATAGCAGTTATTTTCCTTTGACTTGACTTTTGTGGTCAACTAAAAGTGTCAATTAAAAGGGACACTTACTCCATGGAAGGAAAGTTATGACCCAGCTAGATAGCATATTAAAAAGCAGGGACATTACTTTGCCAACAAAGGTCCGTCTAGTCAAGGCTATGGTTTTTCCAGTGGTCATGTATGGATGTGAGAGTTGGACTGTGAAGAAAGCTGAGTGCNTTAAGCCAGAAAAGTTTAGTGGGGAGAAGGGTATGGGTAATACTGGGTAGCCCTCAAGATTAAAAGGGCACAAAAGAGCAGGCTTGGGAAAGTCTACAACCAGAGAGTTTATGGGTAGGGAGGTAGTAGTAAGAAATGATGTCTTTTTACCAGGATGAGTTGGCTCCAGTCATTTTCTGTCTGGGTACACTTTTCTATATATATATATATATTCTTCAGCACATAATGTGCAGAGTTCCTTACATGTTCCTATTCCAGTTCAGTCGCTCAGTTGTGTCTGACTCTTTGTGACCCCATGGACTGCAGCATGCCAGGCTTCCCTGTCCATCACCAACTCCTGAAGCTTGCTCACACTCATGTCCATCGAGTTGGTGATGCCGTCCAACCATCTTTTCTTCTGTCGTGCCCTGCTCCTGGCTTCAGTCTTCGCCAGCATCTTTTTCGATAAGTCAGTTCTTCACGTCAGGTGGCCAAAGTATTAGAGTTTTCAGCTTTGGTATCAGTCCTTCCAATTAATATTCAGGACTGATTTCCTTTAGGATTGACTGGTTTGATCTCCTTGCACTCTCAAGAGTCTTCTCCCAACACCACAATTCACAGGCATCATTCTACGATGCTCAGCCTTCTTAATGGTCCAACTCTCATATCAGTACATGACTCCTGGAAGTATCATAGTTTTGACTAATGGGACTTTTGTTGGCAAAGTGATGTCTCTGCTTTTTAATATGCTGTCTAGCTTTGTCACAGCTTTTCTTCCAAGGAGCAAGTGTCTTTTAATTTCCTGGCTGGAATCACCATCCACAGTGATTTTGAAGCCCAGTCTGTCACTGTTTCCACTGTCCCCCCACCCCATCTCTTTGCCATGAAGTAATAGGACTGGATGCCATTATCTTAGTGTTTTTTGAAAGTTAAGTTTTAAGCCAGCTTTTTCACTCTCCTCTTGCACCTTAATCAAGAGGTTCTTTAGTTCCTCTTTGCTTTCTTTCATTGGGGTGGTGTCATCTGCATATCTAAGGTTATTGATATATCTCCTGGCTCTTGATTCCAGCTTGTGAGTCATCCAGTCTAGCATTTTCCATGATATACTCTGCATAGAAATTAAATAAGCAGAGTGACAATATATATACAGCCTTGATGTTTTCCTTTTCCAGTTTTGAACCAGTCCATTGTCCCATGTCTGGTTCTAATGGTTGCTAATTGACCTGCATACAGGTTTCTCAGGAGGCAGGTAAGGTGGTCTCTATTCCCATCTCTTTAAAAATTATTCACAGTCTGTTGTGATCTGCACAGTCAAAGGCTTTAACATAGTCAATGAAATAGATGTTTTTATGGAATTTTCTTGCATATGGATGTTGGCAATTTGCTCTTGGTTCCTCTGCCTTTTCTAAATCCAACTTAAACATCTGGAAGTTCTTGGTTAACATCCTGTTGAAGCCTAGCTTAAAACATTTTGTGTATTATCTTACTAACGTGTAAAATGAGTGCAGTTGTGTGGTAGTTTGAACAATCTTTGGTGTTGCCCTTCTTTGGAATTGAGTGAAAACTGACCTTTTCCAGTCTTGTGGCCACTGCTGAGTTTTCCAAATTTGCTGGCATATTGAGCGTGGCACTTTAACAGCATCACCTTTTAGGGTTTGAAATAGCTCAGCTAGAATTCCATCACCCGCTAGTTTGTTCATAGTAATGCTTCCTAAGTCCTGCTTGATTTCACACTCCAGGATGTCTGGCTGCAGGTGTTCTCACATACTGCTGAGGCCTAGCTTGAAGGATTTTGAGCATTAGTAAAGGCCAATAATAGGCCAGATAAGTCTAAGGCAAGAAAACGCAAGTTCCAATCAGTTTTTGTTTAATTTTGTTTTTATCGACGTTATGTATATAATTTAAATCTATTCCCCCCTCAGATCTTTATGAATTTGTCACTTTCATTCCCACATTTTCCATCAGTGTTTTAGATCACCTTTCAGCCTGGTAAATTACAAAAAGAATTCTTTTGAATTTTTGTTTTTATTTATCTATGATTTTCACTACAGGTTCTGATTCACCATCATTCTAGGAGTTTAACTTCTCTTGTATTAAATACGGTATTTTCTGCAATCTATGTTTTTCCCATTCTCAGATTACTAGTTTATTTAGATGAAGCACATCTTTTATTAATTTTCTGATGAAAATGGGCAATTTTTGAGAACTTGAATATTAAAATTGCTTCTTTTTCTCATAGATGGTTAATTGGTATAGTATTCAAGAGTAGAAGTCATTTTCCCTGAAAAATTTTGAATCAACTTTATTTAGGTATTCCTAAAATTTTAAGGCATTGCTCTATTTTCTGTCAGCTTCCAGTGTTGCTATAAAGATACAATACCATTCTAATTTTCCAGTCTTTATTTATAATCTGTGTATATGTCAATAAACTTTGAGGATTCTCTCACTAGACCTTCTTTCATGATCATGTGATATTGTCCAATATTCATTGTTTTGGACACTCACTAAACTCCTTGGATCTGCAAATGTTATTACCCTTTAAATTGAGAAAATTTGCTTGTATTATTTCTTTGATAATTTCCTTCTTTTCTCTGTCCTATCTTTCTGAGATTTTTCTTATTCAGATGTTAACAACTGTTTTGAAATTCTAATTATCACTTATTTTCTCTCTTATAAATAGTCCAGTTTGTGTCTTTGTCTTATTATGCTACTGTTCTCTTATTCCCATAATTCTCTCTATGTCCTCTTAGATATCCTAAATGGGCAATAGATCCTATTTGTCCATTTCCATCTTACTCTTCCACGTTAGAGTCTTCCTTACGCATTTGTTGTTCTTGGCAATCTGCTTCTATTTAAGAGCGAAGCAATGATACCTGATCATAAACTTGTTGTGCATACAGGAGGAAGATCATTTGGGTGAGTTTCACTGTAGGCTGAAAAAGGCGCCTTTTCATTTGAGACCTACAAAATTTTGATATCTATAATTGTAATTTCTCTGCTTAGGTATATTTTCTACAGGAAAAAAAAAAATCATTCAACCTCCTGCTTGTTGAGCTATTTCGTGGCTGTGTTGAGAGCCAAGAAGGGAAGGGAGAGATCTTGTGATTCAGAATGCTGAACTTCACTGAGTTGTCCTGTTTTCAGTATGATGCCACATCTTCATCTTCTGCCGTCTCTGCTGTCTTTGAGTGCACAGCTTTCTGTTTTAATTTCTGCAGAAAATAAAGCACTCAGTTGCTGCCGGGCGGGGGTTGGAGAGAAGTAATACCCAAATTGTGGATGAGAGAGAGGTTCTGAAAATTCATCTGCCCCTTATACAGATTTTTAAATAATGCTCTTATTTTTAACTCCACCCACACTATGACTTCACAGTCCTTAGCACCATCTTTTCTGAACTTTTTTAATGATTCAAGACGAAATTGGCTTTTGTCTTGGTTTCTACCATCATGGTATCATCAATTGCAAATTTAAGTGCCAGCTTTCTTAACTCTCCAGTCTGTTTTCAGTTTCCTCCCTTTTTTTGTTTCTTTGTGAACAATGCAATTTATTAGTTTCTTTACAAATATTTGATTAGGTTTTCAGGAGGAAGCATAGATGAAGAGTATATTCAATAACCAAGTTCAACTGGAATCTCTATAATTACATATTTTAGTATATATTTATTTATTTGCTTAATGTTGGTTTTATAGGAAAGTTCCAAGACCAAGGACTAAATCTTCCTGCTTTTCCTTCTATCTACTGTGTCAAGCACAGTTTATTGAATGAATGAAATGATTTGTAAGAACATTTTGCTGAACATTTGATAGCTAAACAGTGTCTCTGATTTTCTTTTGTTTCCTCTAGCATGTTGTGTTTTTAATTAAATTTTTCTTGGCCTGGATGATCCCTGATGTTCCAAAAGATGTTCTGGCAAGAATCAAGCGAGAAAAGTTAATGACTGTCAAGATTCTCCATGACTTTGAACTTAACAAACTAAAAGAGAACTTGAGGTTGAATTCTGCTTCTGATTTTGACAGGCATTTTGGTATCAAGGAAAGCAAAGCAAATCTGGCTGAATCAACAACCTAATTAACACAATGAGCAAGTGGTTGGTTGCCTGTCTGGCTTCACAGTTTATCTGGATTTGGAGCCAGAAGCCATGTGTCTTTTACCCTTCTTCTTTTTTTTTTTAACTCAGAGTTTTTGTACACTTTTATGGAGGCCTTTGTACAGCTTCATGGAGGTTGGAAGAACAGCTGTCTGCTTCACTGGCTGGACCCTCCCTAGATATTGGTTCTGGGATTCTATAAATGATTGTTAAATGTATGTTTGAAATCAGAATATTGGAAAATCATGGGATGTTGCAGTTTGGAATTAAACACTGGACGTCGGCTCTCCTATCGCCTTCCAGTGAGGGTGCACATTTTCATGGTCATCTTTCTTTGGGGTTGTGTTATATCTCTACCCTATCAGAGAAAGTATTGGGACAAAAGGAATAGAAGTGAAGAGGTCTACTGAGCCATATATGTGTGTGTGTGTATATATATATATATCCTGCCATTTTAGACTATGCAGATGAAAAACCAAAATCAGATAAGATAGGAAAACTTACATATTAAAAATACTAGAATGATATCATGGCAGAGCTTTGTTCTGAAATCATCCTAATTAAGGTAAACTTCCATCAGAATTCCAGATAGTCCTTCCAGGTGAACACAAAATTGATTTTTCAAGAGACTGAACATTTGGGTTTCAGTCAAGGACTAATAACTCAGTTCTTTAAATGTAACACTTTGGTAGCAGTGGTTTTAAGAATTGTCTTATCTGGGAAACAGCATTAAGAAAGTGTTAAATTAATTTGTTTCAGGTCTTTAAGTAAATGAAAGATATAATGAAGTGATTATGTCTTCTTAGTAGTTTAAGAATGCAAGACAATGTATATTGATTAACTTACTGAATTCAGTCTAAAAAAAAAATCGCTGAAATATTTTTAAAAACCATTTTTCTTCCACAATGCCTATTTTGCATCATGAAGCGAATCTGAGCATTAACTGTTCCTGTAAGTTAGGTACAAGTCATTTATGAAATTTTATCTCATTGGTTAAAGCAGTCTCAAGTCTTTTAATGAGTTTACAACTTTTTCTATTGATGCACTGCTGTACAATGCTCAGTGCCTTGTTCCTATGCCTTTGACCCACAAAATGTGGTTGTACTATTGGTTTGATGATGTAACATCTCAGATGTGAGCTTCTTTTAGACAAATTGTTAGTTTAACATCAGTCACAGAGTTAACACCAAATGTGGATCAACCAAGTAAGAATACGGTGATGGATTTGACAGCTAAGTAAAAAAAAAGTATGTTTGTTGAATTACTTCTTTAATGCTTTAGCCTATGGCACAGGTACTCCAGTTCTTGTTCTTCTTTCTCTTAAAAATACTTACTATGTATTTTAAACACTACAGAGAGATGTTTAAATTATACAGCATTTGAATCTCTAGTTTCAAATTACACTTCAGTTTCAAAAGAATAGTGTTCTGTAATTGCACACAAAAGAAGAAACCATTTAAGATTTTTTTCAAAGTAGCATTTCATTATTTGATTCGAATAGTTTTTATTAAGTTTCCAATATTAAGTATATGAGAGGTAATATTAACTAATGATCAATATTAAGCATTTAGAACTGAGGACTGTGAATTTTATAAAACCATGAGATGGTTACCCCAATATTGGCAGTAATTGGTCACCCAGTAGGTAGATTTTATGAATATTTTTGCATAATTTTAAATGTTCTCCTTAATGAAGAATGATTTCACTTGTGGAAGAGATGTACTTTCCTGCTTGAGAGAACCAGTTAGTGATACTATGAAATTAGCCACAAATGCAGTATCTCTTTCAAATCAAACTCTGTTATTGCAGTGTTGTACATTTTGTACAGCTCATATTGCTTCCTTCCTGGGTGCTAATAAAAATAAGGAAGAGCATGGAAATTGGTTTCTTGTATATAAGCTTTAATTATTATGGCTGAAGAGTGTTTGCAGAGCTAGGTTGTAAGATAAATAAAGACAAATTTAATTCACAAGGTTATCTGTAACACTGCAATCTGAAACAAACTCAAGTGTTGAGTTTCTAGGATGTACAGAGAGACTAGCAAGGGAGGAAGTGGTTTTTAAGGTAAGTAAATAGTTCCTATGAGGTAGATATTTTCCTTTTAAAATGCTTTGTACTCACCTTCCAGTTCTCTACCAAGAAATTTCTCACACTTTAAAAGGAAATACAAGTATTGGTCACTTTCCTAAAAAATAAACAAAATCTGAAGCCAAAAAATAAACAAAATCTGATGGCAAGTTGCTTCAGACAGATTCGTCTTCTCCGTCTCGAGTTGCAGCAGAGCCGGTGCCCCTCTCGAGTTGAGCGTGGGCAGCGGGGCTCCTCTTGGGTTGCAGCAGGGAGCTGGTCCTCCTCTCGAGNCGGGCCTCATCTAGAGTGGAGGCAGGGAACTCGGGGTTCTTCTCCATTTGCGGTGGGAAACTCGGCATTCCTCTCGAGTTGCCATGGAGCTCTAGGGGTTCCTCTTAAGATGCAAAATGGTAGTCACTCCTCATCTTGAGTTGAGATGAGGAACTCGGGTTTCCTCAATTTGCCACAGAGGACCCATTAGTTATTGTGAGAGGGCTGAATTGAGCCTCTTAACTACCAAATGTAGGTTGATTTTTATCAGCATGGCAGATGTTTTTATCATTCACTCACACCCATAGCTGTTTGTTTTTTTTTTTTCATAAATCTTCCAGAAATAATTTGAAATTTTATTCAAAATAACATTAAGTACAAAAACAAATTTATTCAAATGTCATCTCAAATCCTTGGCTTCATCAGTTTTTCTTTGCACAAAAGAAGTAGAATCCACTTCAAAACATTACTTTTACAAGAACACATCAAGAAGGGGGTGGGGGCTTAAGAAATGGAATGCTCTCATTTTTGCTATATTTTGTGATCCCTTGACTTTAACAGTTTTAACTAAGCCATCAAGCAAGTTATTAAGGAAAAGAAAAAGGAAAGAAGATAAACAGGAGGCTAAGATGAAGAAGGACCTAAGAGATTTCCTTATGAAGAGTTCTTTTCTTATGAAACTTTGTGTATCTCTGTGGGGAGAGAGGTGTTGGCAGGTGCATGGTGCAGCTGTATGTCTTTCCTAAGCCATCTAATGAGGGTGAGAGAAAAGTCAAAGAAATTTTGAGCTAAAAGCTCTTATGTGTCAGAATAACACTTTTGATTCCAAAGTGACTTTGTAGTGTCAGGTACCCTGTGTAGCCCTGGGGTCTCTGTTGATTTACTCCAATTGTGGGTAAGGAATTTGTACTACTGATTCAGAAAGTGAATCTGTTGTTGTGAAAGAACCTCTCTAATAGTTGTTTTTAGTTAGTGATAGTTATTATGTTTCCCTAGTAGCTCAATCAGTAAAGAATCTGCAATACAGGAGACCCAGGTTCAGTCCCTGGGTTGGGAAGATCCCTTGGAGAAGGAAATGACAACCCACTCCAGTATTCTTGCCTAAGAAAGCCCATGGACAGAGAAGCCTGGTGAACTAGTCAATGGGGTCTCAAAAGAGTCTGACACAACTGAGTGAATAAACCACCAAAATTATTATGTGATCAAAGAGTATAAGGAAAATAGCATTGTGAGATGTACCACTGGCCAGGCTTAGAGCAGCCTGCTCCCATGAATCACTATAACAATTATTTTTTTTCTAGATGATATTTAACCTCCCTAATTTTTGTGTGATAATTCAATCACATCAGTTATTCCAGGATTATGTGAAAATTCAGAAGACTATTAAAAACGATAGTGTGTTTCAATGTGTATGAGATACCTGCTTCCATTCCCCCCAAACTGACTAGGTATGACTTTCCTATGAATGATTCATGGTGTTAACCAAGAAAACATGTTAACCTGACTCATGGATTGAACCCAGGTATCTCTCTCTCTCTCTTTTTTTTGCAAAGAGGGTGGTATGAGGCACACAGGAAAATTTGCTCTTATGCTGTCTACTCAGCTGCTCAGTCATGTCTGACTCTTCGCAACGACCTGGACTGTGGACTGCTAGGCTCCTCTGTCCATGCGATTCTCTAGGCAAGAATACTGAAGTGGGTTGCTATTTCCTACTCCAGGGGATCTTCCCAACCCAGGGATTGAACTCATGTCTCATGTCACCAGCATTCACAGACAGGTTCATTATCACTAGCGTTACCTGTGAAGCCCATATACATAAATTTCATTCATCACAAGAGATTCAGTAGAAGGAAATGGCAACCCACCCCAGTATTCTTGCCTAGAGAACAGAGGAGCCTGGTGGGCTGCTGTCCATAGGGTTGCACAGATTTGGACACGACTGAAGTGATTTAGCAGCAGCAAGAGATTCAAATAGGCATGATGAATAAAGTAATACTTAATTTTAAGCTCCATTTTGACAAACTCAATTTATTCTTAGAGTAAAATGTTGATAATAATTTTTTTTCTGAATTTGAGCATCCTAAGAGGATTTTAAGTCATTTTTGGTTGTCTAGAAACATTAAAATGCATTATATGGAACATGTTTAATTCACAAAATTGCAAGTTTGTCACATTTAGCAATGCACATTCCTTGAAGAAAGAGTCTGAATGGTCCAGAAAAAATGGAGAAGGTGGTAATTTTTTTGTTGTTTTGCCTTTTTAATCTTTCCTAGTTTGAAAGGTGATTAAAATGAACAGAAAATCCCAAGAAGAAAAATAGTGTGTTGAGATATTTTACAAAATTTTTTTCTAAGTCCATCATTCCCCTAAAGAAATCCACAACAGGCTTCAGTGGAATTGTTTGGGCCACTTGTGACATAATGCATTTTCCTTGTTTCTATCCCATATTCCTAGGAATATAGTCTATGCTGCTGCTAAGTCACATGGGAGAGGAGCTTTTGAAAATCTTCGGGGTTATTTTGGGGAGTGGGATATAAAACTGGTAAGAATTTCATAAAAGTAACAAATTCACTAGCCAAGAGCATTTTATGTAATAACTCCCAAACATCTATCATTCCAACCTATCAGAGAAAAGTATGCAAAGGCATGTAGACTCAGGGCTTCCCAATTTGTCAAACTGTTCTAATCCTGCAGTGTGAAGAAGTGGCTGAAATCTTACACCCTCAGAACCCTAGGCCTGTGTGTAGTTAAGAAAATAATTACATAAAATAACTATGGAAAATCTTATTTAAAAGAGAAAAGATTAAGTATGTGCTTTTACCAATATATTCAAGAAAATAAAATTGCACATTGGTGAGAAATGAAATACATCACATTCTAAGTTTAAACAATACAAGTTGATTCTCAGGATATAAGCAGGACCCCCAGCAATTTCAGTGGGCTAAAATCAATCATTCTTTGTGAATTATTTGTTCACAATAAAAATCAAACTAGAAAACAATAATAAAAAATAGGAAAAAATGATGTAACAAATTTTGAAATAACTCACAGATCATATGATGGAATTTAGAAAA